GTGGAATATAAATATACATGAAAATTGAAAAAAGTACAAGTAGGATTATTTTCTGCATTTCACAGATGACTGCATAAAATAAAGTAGTAAATCTTTTGCCTAAAGACATTTAGCTTTAGGCTGTAAGGAGAGAGTCTTTTCCACTCTTTTATGATGCCAGAAGACTTACATTAAATACAAAAGACCCCTCAATAACACATTTCATTACTTAGTGATTTATTTCTGTTTATTTTCTAATATCTTCTCCTTAGCCCTGGCTATATTTTCTTACTCTCTCTAACTTTCTTTTGTTTAACACCATTAGAGAATATAATTTTTTAAGTGCTTATCTTGCACCAAGCTTTGTGCCAAATGCTTTGAATTAACCCTTTTGTATTATTCCCACAATATTTGCAAGTCTTAGGTAGTATCATCTTTATCTTATCAATAAGAAAAATGAGTCATAAAATAAATTATGTCCAAAATCTAGGAGCCAGGAAGTAATAGAGGTTGGATAGTGCAGGACTGACATCAGAGTTTATGTGTTATGTGAACTCACTTTCCTGCTTTTTTTTTTCTTTTCCTTCTATGCACACTGTTCTTATGGGCCAATGAGTCAGAACTGACTTGTAGCTGGAAGTAGGCTTTCAGAAGCTGCAGATCATATGGGAGGAGACTGCGCATTTTTTCTTTCATGGAACAGCTGGTGAATTTGAATTGCTTGCCTTTGGGTTGGCAGAGCAATTTCTTACCACTAAGCCATGAGAGCTCCCTCTTCTATGTTTGCATTTTTCATTTATGTTTTTCCTAGGATGGACGCTTTATGCTTCCGTATTTCCAGTCTCCAAAGGAGTTGGTTTCAAAATGCCTTCTTCCATCAGTCATAGCAATAAACAGACCAATGGTGGTGTAGAGTCATAACAACACACATTGGGGTAACCCAATCTGGGTGAAAGACCTGCTTTACTATTAAATTGCTGTATGATTTCAGACTAAATAGTTCCTTTACTAGAATCTCAATTTTATTATTGTCATAAATGGAGGTTTTAAGAAAATCTATTTTCTAAAGATTATTGTGCAGATTAATAAATATATTTCTAATGTACAGAGGAACACATATACTATTTGATAAAAATTAAGCCTCTCCAGGGTACTGAAGAGCAATGGTGTCACTCTGGAGACAAATGTGCGTCTGATACAGGCCATGGCCTTTGCAATCACTTGCTATGCATCAGAGAGTTGGTCAATGACTAGGGAACATAGAAGGAGAATTGATGCCTTCGAGCTGTGGTGCTGGAGAAGAGTATTGAATGTACCAACAGATTCATCCTAGAGAGAGTTAAACAAGGCTGCTCCTTGGAGGCAAGGATTCTGGGGCTTCATCTGACGTACTTTGAACATGTAAGGAGGGAGAGGTCCTTGGAGAGGGACATCATGCTTGGGAGGGTGGAGAGAGGGCAGAGGTGGGGAAGACCCTCTATGAGGTGGATTGATTCAGTGACTGGGGTAATCGGGATGGGTGTGTCAGAGGCAGTGAAATTGGCACAGGATAGAGCAGGGTTTAGGGCTGTTGTACATAGGGTCGCTATGAGTTGCAAGCGACTCGATGGCACATAACAACCACAAAAAAAAAAAATTAAGCTGTCAAAATGTTTTATTTTAGGAAGAAAAATAAAAAGTAACAAAAGTAAAATCTCTTTAGATAAGGGTCTCAGGAAAAAGGCTAATGATGCTGTATATACCGTGGCCTCTATATTTCCTTTTCTGGGGCAAAATCTTTTAGTATCACCTTTTCACATTACTATGAGGTTTTGCAGAGAGGGCTGACACTCATGAAGGGGAGATATATAGAAACTAGGTGAGGCTTTTTGATGTGCTGGTAATTGGCACACTGTAGACACAATAATTTTTAAAGCTTTCTACAGAGATTATGGAACTTTTATATCCTATTTATTTTATTACATATTTATTTGTTTTACTTATGAGCATATTGAGTATGTTAAATTTATTTACTCTAAGAAGGAACACATGATTGAAATCCCTTGTTTTCAGAGTGACTGTGATTTTATAATGTTTATTCATAAAGGTAATGCAATTATTTTTTCATTTCCTCCATTTGAGTGTGTGCTATTTTAACTTCCTTTTGCCACCTGGGGACATATCACATATCCTCAGTATCTGGATAATCTATAAAATATGTAACTTCTTTTAGCCTTTGCTTCCTTATCTGTGAAAAGTGATTGAGGGCAAGTAATTTATATATTGAAATAATGAAATGAGCTGAGTTATGGAAAAGACCAGTTTCAGTGTCTGTCACAGAAATAGGCACAAATAGGAGTTTCTTTCCTTAGAGTCAACCAAAGCATACCACTAAAGAGAACTTAATAAACATTTAAAAGAAAGAGAATGAACTAAGTGTATACATTAACCTGATAGAATGAAATGAGATTTAATAAAAACTTTAAGCCAAGCATAACCTATGGTTTTCCAAGTATGTATCCTTATAGACAATAACTGTAATCTCGAGCCAATCAGAAGTTAGTACCATATGTATTTCTTTTCGTACACTATTTGTAGCTTTTTGTTATTATTGTAAGTAGAACAATATGAATTTAAACTGGCAAAAGGAAATAAAAAGAAAATATTTAAGCTTTTATGTTTACTTTGCTAAACCTTTGACTGTAACAGTTACTCAGGAAGTATCATCCAGAGCTGAGTGAATACTTTGGATCTCAGATCTTCTCCCCAGATGCTTTGCATATGGCAGATCACTTGGGTATAGGCCTCTGCACTTCCTTTTTAGGAAGGAACAGTTTGATTTATGAGCTTTAATTGAGCTTCCATTCCTTCCACCCGTACACTGCAGAGCTATTCGATTTTTATGGGAAGTTGGTTAAGACTTGGGTTAATGGGTTTGTAGTATTAGTTAGTAGTGGTGATCTTTCATTTCCTGGCTTTCCACATACTTATAGTAAATATACAGATTTGCCTTATAATAAAATTCTTTATTATACTTTATGGGCTTATCTTCCCTTTCAGAGATGTATACATATGCATTATATTCCCATTACATATCTTGTCTGTGATTGTGTTAGCTATTAACACAGATGAGAATAATTAAATTTAATGTGTATTTTACTACTACAGTTGTATTCCTAACAGATATGGGGGGAAAAATGTTTGCTTTATGACAAACATAGGAACCTGCTTTTGTTAGTTTTGTGGGAGAAGAGTAGTGAGGACTTACTTGTACAATTTTTAAAACTATTTGATATAATAGAGGCAGCGGAGGAAAGCATAATTAATTAACAATATCTCCTTATAGGAAAATATATAGTATGTATGTAGCCTCATTGTGTTTTTTTTCTTTTTACATTCTATAATTGAAATATTTATTTTAGTATCATGTGTTTTCATATTCCAGGTCTTCCTTCTTCCCTTACGGAATTACATCTTGATGGCAACAAAATCACCAGAGTTGACGCCGCTAGTCTCAAAGGACTGAATAATTTGGCTAAGTAAATAATATTATTTTATAGCATTATTTTCAGTACCATGCTTGTATTATTAGGGGCTGTAGGGTCATAATTCAAAATCTGACAACAGACTTATAAAGAAAACAAAAACCAATTTATTGCAGTATAAGTGAAGACTTCTATAGCATTTGAGTTCCAAATCAATAGTTTCTATTCAAATGGTTTGGAGGCATTGGTTACATTCTTCATCACTTGTAACCATTATTCCATTTACAGTAACTCATTTTTAACTTGGAGCTCTGTTGTCATAGTGTGTTTTGTGTCCAGTTGCTAACCAAAGGGCTCAAATCTGCCAGGCTCTCCATGGGAAGGGAGTAAGCATTCACCTTCCACCAAAGCACAGTCTCAGAAACCTGCTAGAGCTTATGAGTCAAATTAACTCAGTGGCATTGAGTTTTGGATTGTTTTTAATAGTCAGTTGCATAGGTGTAAAGTGGATAGATGTGTCAGAAAGAATGAGCTTGGCTGAAGATAGAACAGGGTTTAGAGCTGTTTTGTACATATGTTGCTATGCATTGCAAACAACTCAACAGCACATAACAACAAAAAAAGTAACATTTATTTTATTATTTTCAACAACTTCAAAGGGCAAACACTGCCTAAAAACTTCTGGGGTAAAACCCCAAAATATCAATGAACCCCGAAAATATCAATGAAATAGCATAGCTACTTAGATTATCCTCATTATATGTATTGCTTTTAGATAATTTAATATATCCTACAAATGAAGTTTTAGAGTAAACCTGTATAATAACTGAATATGGTTTTAATGTAACAGCAAAAACTAGAAAATTAAATCAATTATGATACAATGTCCAAAATTTGAAAATGCATTAGAATTACTAGGACATGGAATATTGTGCATTCTATAGTGTAGAATGAAAAGCAGATATGAAAAATACTATACTCTCTTATTTTTTTGTTGATTTTTAAAATAAAACATCTCTAGACATTTAATGTAGACCAAATTAAAAAAAATGTTTTCTGAGGCATTAGTGAACATTTAAAAATTTTTGTTTTATAGCTCCTATCTTCCTTTCTTATATAACCTTAATCTTCCAACAGTCACAGCCTCATTAAACAATAAGAGAGTGCTTTTAAAATCTTTCAATTATCGCCAAAGAACACCCTGCTCTTACTCACATATGTTACTGAATGTTCCTAATGAGACAGTTTTTGCCAAATGAGCCCACTCCTTCTTCAGTATATAAATTTAATGGTAGATAAAGTTTATGAATACACCTCTGAGGTATAACTAAGCCAAGGGTGATGTATATGGGAGCTTTAAACTTTTGTGTATTTTCCAGTAATTCAACGGGCTGTAAAGCCATAGGTGAAACTGAGCCTGTGACTACAGCTATAGTTATGCCTCAATTTATAAACTCTTACTCTGCAGCCACTATAATTATAGTTTCTCACACAGATAATTGTGAGAATGGTGCGGGGCAAGGGAGCTTTTCTTTCCTTTGTGTACAGGATAGCTTTGAATCAGAATCAACTTGATGGCTCCTAACAAAAACTATTTCTTCCACTAATGTAGATCTATGCAGTCCATGTGGTGATGTGTATGGGTAAAGGCACTGTTTGTGTATTTTTAAAAAAAAACATTTTTGCAATGAATAAGTCCTTGGATGTGCAAAATTTAATCATTGTGTCTTTGACTTCATTTCTATCACCAAATCTGTAGTTCCCAACTACCATTCCTTCTTTATTGTTTCCAACTTTTGGACACCAGTCACCAGTTCTCATTAATGCATGACTGAATATTTGGCCAATTTTGGACTATAGAATTGGCCTTTTCAATCACTTGCTGCTGAGAGCTGGATATTCCTTGGAGAAGGACATCCTGCTTGGAAGGGTAGAGGGACAGCTCAGGAGTGGAAAACCCAGGATGAAATGGATTGACTCAGAACTGAGATAATTGGGGGTAGGTGTGTTGGAAACAGGGCTTAGGACAGGACAAGTTTCAGAGCTATTGTACGTAGGATTGCTATGAGTATACAGTCAACTTGATGGCACATAACACTAACAATAATGTTCTTTCTTGATTATGTTCCTCTAGTTTCAGAAAAATGTAAGATTACTCACATTGCTTATTGTATACATTCCTTCTTTAAGATAACCATTATTATTGGTACTAATAGTGGTAGATAGTAATAAGATGCTAAAATTTTGAGTTATTCATGCTACATTTGCTGGCTTTGGAAAAAAATACTTTTTTTCCCTGAAAATTACATGGAGGTTTTGGAGATTACTCAGTATTGGTGCAATAGTCTCTGTATCTTTAACAAGGCTGATAGAAATTCAGATTTCTCTCCATTGGGAAGTTTAATTCTACTCACTAGAGTTATTTTTGTTGTTATGTACCATAGAGTTGCCTGCTACACATAGCAGCCCTGTGTACAGCAGCTCTGAAGCCTGCCCTGTCCTGAGCCAGTCTCACTAATCTCAATACACCTAACCCTATTGCCTGAGTTACTGTATCAATCCATCTCATGTGAGGTCTTCCTCCAAGAGATTGAGTTGTATGTAGGAAGCCGTGTGGGGTCAGGATGCAGGAATACTGGCGCTGAGTGATTCTGAAAGTGTTGGTTAAATGGCAGCTAATGAAGATTTACAAATTGATATAAAATGCTATTTCTAATAACCTTTCAAACAGGCATATTTATTGGCTTGCTAGAACACTAGGTGTTTTATTTCCAGTTAATAAATTGATATGATAAATATATTATTGCTTGCTATCCAAGGTGAACCAAGTAATAATACCAATTATTATTATTTTCATTCCCTCTAAATTAATATATCAGTTATCCCTTTTTTTATTTTACTTGTTTAATAAATAAAATTAGATTTTTTTTTCCAGTATGCCAAGCACTGGATTAGTAGTACATGTCCCACAAGGCAGTCACTATCCCAAGGAAATTACATTCAATAGTGATCCATATAAGTATACAAACATTTGTTTTAATTAATTTTAATGAAAGGTTACAGAGACTTTGGGTTTCTAGTCATTCAGTGTTGTACTTTCCTCCCTGCCTAGTCCCTACCCCCAGTTCACTTTCGTCCTTGAAAAGTGAAAGAAAAAATTTCATTGTTACACAATCCCTCCCTACAAGTCCACTCTGCTCTGCAGCCTTCATTCTGGATTCCTGTCATGACAATAACACCCAATCATATATCCCTTTAAAACAGTTCTCTCCCTCATCTGTTTCAATGAAATAGACATCATTCCTCCCTTCCTCTGTCTTCCCTCAAGCCTAATATCAGTCCTGTTTTATAATAGTGACCCTAACCAATATTTATCCATTTGTGACTGAGATAATTCACTCAGCATAATGTCCTCTAGGGTCATCCACTTTGCATAATATTGCATGGGTTCCTTGTTTTTCAATGCTACGTAGTATTCCATTGTGTGAATATACCAGAGCTTCTCTATTCATTCATTTGTTGGTGGGCACTTGGGTTGTTTCCAGCACAAACATTTTAAACGCCGTCTCATAAGCTATACAACCTTGCTTGCACAGTCCCCTAAGTTTCCACAATCTTATTTACAAAAACTATGAAGACTCACTAACTGCAGAAGATCAAAGAGTTTAATATGGGTTACATCTACATCAAGAAAACGAAAATCCTAACCACTAGACCAATAGGCAACATGATGATGGAAAAAATTTGAAGTTGTCAATAATTTCATTTTACTTGGATCCACAGTCAACACCTTTGGTAGCGGCAGTCAAGAAGCCAAAAGATGTGTTGCATTGGGGGAAATCTGCTGCCAAGGAACTTCTGAAGGACTAAAAGCAAGGATGTCAGGATTAAGACTAACGTAACCCTGATCCAAGACTTGCTTGCATCCTATGCATCTGAAAGTTGATCACTGGATAAGGAAAACTGAAGGAGAATGGATGCTTTTAAAAAGAATGAGCACATTTGTCTTAAAGGAAGTACTACTTGATTGTTCCTTAGAGGCAAGGATAGTAAAAATTTTATCTTACATTTGTCATATTTTCAGAAAGAATTAGCCTTATATATAAATGGACATCATGTTGGGAAAGGCAGAAGGTCATCCAAAGAAGGGAACTCCCTCGATGAGATGGATTGATGGACTCGCTGCCACAATGGACTTGAGCATGACAGAGATCATAAGGATGGTGCAGGATAGGGCAAGGTTCTAGGTTGTTGGGTTTTTAAAAAAATCACTATAGGTGGAGTCTGCTGGCCTAGTGGTAAGAAGCTGTGATGCAATCCTAAAGGCATGTGGTTCAAATTCACCAGTTGTTCTTTGGGAAGAAGACTGGCAGTCTCCTTCTATGCAATTTACTGCCTGGAGAGTAGAAACCCACTGGAGGGTCAGAAGTGGGTTATTTCTAACTCAGCAACACATAACAACAATAACATAGGTGCCTACTGATAAGAAGCTTCACTGCTATCACAAAGACAAACAGTTCAATCCACCAGTTTCTCTGCAGGACAAAGATGGGCAATCTCCTCTCATGCTATTCACTGCCTCAGAAAAGCCACTGGAGGGTCAGTAGTGAGTTGGTTCTGATTTGATGGTGCACTACAATAATAACATCGTGAGTTGGACTGGACTTGAAAGTACCTAACAACATAAGTTTTACTAGAGTATACTGTAGGATACTATGTGTGGTTCACAGTTAGGCAGGGAGTGTGTCAGGGGTTATCCTCATACCCGTACCTTTGCAATCTATATGCAAAACAGATTATTTGGGAGGCTGCACTTTATGAGGATAAGTGTGGAATCAGAATTAGAGAAATATTCGTCAACAACCTACGTTATATAGATGCTACAACTTTGATTGCCAAAACTGAGGAGGACCTAAATAATTTGGTGCAGAAGGTCAGTTACTTTAGTCTTCAATACGAATTGAAATTTAACATCAAGAAGACAAAGATTCTCACCACTGGGTCAATTGGCAGCACCATGATGGATAGAAAAGAGATTAAGGTTGTTAACAATTTCAGCTTAGTTGGTTCCAGAATCAACACTGTTGGCACCAATCGTTAGGACATTAAAAGACAAATTGCACTGATGAAGTCTGCTGTCAGGGACTTCTCCAAAGTGCTAAAGAGCAATAATGTCAGTCAAGAGACTAAGGTGAGCCTGAACCAGACCATGGTCTTCACAACTATTTGTTGTGCATCAGAGAGCTATGTAATCATTTTGTAGGCAATGAATAAGGATTACAGGGGAAAAAATGATCCTTTTGAGTTGTGGTTCTGGAGAAGAGTACTGAACATACCATGGACCTCCAGGAGAACAAATAGATCTGTCTTGGAGAGGGTAAAATTAAGTTTATTCCTTGGAGGCAAGGATTTTGAGGCTTCTTCTCACATACTTTGGGTTTGTGGCCAGGAGGGTCCAGTCCTTGGAAAAGGACATTGAGCTTGGAAGGGTGGACAGACTGTGCAAAAGAGGACGACTCCGGATGAGATGGATTGACACTGTAACTGGGACAATGGAATTAGGTGTGTTAGAGTCAGTTGGACTGGCTCAGGATAGGGCAGGGTTCAGAACTATTGCACTTAGGGTTCTTATGAGTAGTGAGTGACTCGATGGCACATAATAGCAACAACATTATGGCCAGTCAGTTGGGACACCTCTCCAGTTTCGTAGTGTCAGAGGAAAAGAAGGTGACACTGAGTTAAGGATTTAAGAACTAATGGTCCATAGAAGTCAGGGAAAAAAATCAGAGAGAATAGTATTTGCAAATACAAAAATCATGCTTTCTTATTGGCTTTATCAATCTTACAGCACCTGTATAAAAGGTATTCATGTATGGTGTATGCAATTCAATGTTATTTTCTGTTGCAGATTGGGGCTGAGTTTCAATAGCATCTCTACTGTGGACAATGGCTCTCTGGCCAACACACCTCATTTAAGAGAGCTTCATTTGGACAACAACAAGCTTATCAGAGTACCTGGTGGGCTGGCAGAGCATAAGTATATTCAGGTAATTTAAGACTACTACATATTATATCCCTGGGTGATACAAAACAGTTAAGGCACTTGACTGATAATCAGATGATCAGAGATTCAAGTTCACCATGAGATACCTGAGGAGAAAGCATTGATGATCTACTTTTGAAAGGTCAGCTGTTGGATTAGGACAGTGTTCAAATGACCTGTCACCTGGTTTAATACTCTGCTGTCACTGTCTTGAAATTCTTAAATTTTTCTTCTAAAGTTTGAGGTTTTCCTTTTGTGCAAGGCCTCACTGATTGGATAGCTACCCTTAACCTTAAGGTCATATTTTCATCTGTAGTTGACCACACATATACCCATTTTACATTTCTTCCCACAGGTTCTAAGGAATTTTACCTACACTCATTTTGGTTTTGCTTTTGGATGTTTTTTTTAAAATGCATTTTAATGACTTTTCAACAAAATAATATAATTGTGAAAACATCACTAAAATCTAGTCTGAATATTTTTATTGCCCTCACCTCCCGAGCACATCACTGTTCTGTGTTTGAGACCAGTTTTCACTCATCTCCAGCCATGAGGAATCTTGGATCTATTTTCTTTCTCTGTATTTCTACCTGTCTGGATATTTCATGTAAACCAATTACACCATGAAACTACCTTCTTTAACTCATTGAGTTAGAAGTGAGTTTGAATTGTAGCATGCATTTATATTTGTGAATAAGATTCCATTCTAGTAATGTAGAAGATTTTATTTTTCTTAACTTTGAGCAATCAATAGGTATTTGGCTGTTTCTAGTTTGGCTCTTTTATAAATGATACTGTGAGGAACATTCATATAGGAGTCTTTCTGTGATCACATGTTTTCTTTTGTCTTATCATAACCAGGAGTTGGCTTGCCAATTAGGAAAAAAATAAGACTTTTTTTATTTTTAAAAGAATTCAATTAAATATATTGTTTACATTCTCATCAGCAGCTCATGAAAGTTTTAAGTTCTGAATGCCCTTAGCATTACTAATATTGCCTCTTTTACCATTGATTTGAGTTTTGTTAATCATTCTTAAAAATATGTAGTAATAGCTCATCTGGATTTTAATTTCCATTTCCCTAATAACTAACTATATAACTAATAATAACTAACTAACTAATAATGTTAAATATTTATTCCTGTTCTGTTTATGTAGGGTTTTTGGAGAAATATATTTTCCAATATTTAGCCACTTTAAAAATAATTTCAATTGCATTATTTATCTTCATATTATCAAGGTATAAGATTTCTTTCTGTGTTCAGAGACAAGTTTTTCATTAGATATGTATATTTCGTATTCACTTCTCTTAAACAATACTTTATATTTTCATTTATCTGATAATTAAAAGTAAAATTTTTAAAGAGTCTAGTTCATCTTTATGCTTATGAATATCTAATTGTTTCGCAATTACTTTTTAATAGAAAGGGCTTCTTTTCTGTGATTAACTTCTTTACAGCTTTACTAAAAATCAATTGGCCATAAACAATTAGGCTATTTATATGTATTTTCAAATCTCTGTGCTTGTCTCTGGATCACCTTTATTACATATATTTTAATCACAAAAGGGTTTTTTTTCAACTTAGTAATATTTGAAATCAAGATACAAGTCAATTCTGGAGCCTTTATATTTTCACATAAAATAATAAACATGTACAAATCTATAAAATATAAATAGCCTAGGATCTTGAAAAGGAATATGAGTTTTAAATCAATGTTAAATACTTCCTAAATATAAATTATTTCTATGTTTAGCTCTTTAAATTTTCTCAACAAATCTTGTAATGTTTAGTGAATATAGTCTTAGAGTTGTTGCAGAGTGGAGTATACTAGGGGTGGGGGTGGGGTTGGGGGGGTGCAAGGGATTGTGTATCAATGAAGGAGTTTTTCTTTTGCTTTTCAAGGAGAAGAACAAACTGGGGGTGGGGGTGGGGTGGGCGGGTTTGAAAAGTGCAACAGTGAATGAATGGAAGTCCAAAATCTCTGTAAATGTTCATTGAAATTAATAAAAAAAAAATCTAAAAATATTAAGGGAAATCTGGTGGCATAGTCTGTATGAAATTGTGCTGCTTTCGCAATCACCTGTTATGCATCAGAGAGTTGGACAATGACCAAGGAGAATAAAAGAATTGATGCCTTTGAGCTGTGGTGCTGGAGAAGAGTATTGAGAATACCATGGACTGCTAGGAAAACAAACAGATTTGTCCTGGAAAGGGTTAAACCGGGTAGCTCCTTGGAGGCAAGGATTCTGAGGCTCCATCTAACATACTTTGGACATGTTGTGAGGAGAGACCGGTCCTTAGAGAGGGACATCATGCTTGGGAGGGTGGAGGGACAGCGCAGGAAAAGAAGGCCCTCTATGAGGTGGATTGATTCAGTGATTGGGATAATTGGGATGGGAGTGTCAGAGACAGTGCGATTGGCACAGGACAGAGCAGAGTTTAGGGCTGTTGTACATAGGGTCGCTATGAGTTGCAGGCGACTCAACGACACATAGCAACAACAACAACAACACAATAAACCCTTCTCAGCCACAAGTGACTCCGTGGGAGGAAGATAAGCATCCCTCTTGTGAGGTTTACGGGCTCAGAAAAGCCTATGGAGGGTCGACTATGAGTCATTATTGTTAAATATAAGCCTATGTCTTTGATCCTTTTTGATGATATTGTGAATTAATTGGTCACTCAATTTCATATCTGGATTGTTTATTGCTAGTGACAGAAATCTAACTTAGCTCCATGTATTAGTCTTCTGTATTGAGCTTGATTTTATCAGTAGTAATTTTTTCATTTTTATGATTATTTATATTCAAGATCATCTCAACTTCAGAAACAGTATTATTTGTCCCTTTCCAGTTTTTTTACAATTTTATTCATTTTTCTTGCCTCATTGCATAGGCAACATTCACCAGTACATTGTTACCAATTATTTGTGAATCTGAATGACATTTATTGTTTTCCTCTAAACTTTTTGTTTTAAAATATACGTTTCACATGCTTAGAGGCATGACTGTGTTAGATGGAAAATGTTCAAAGTCAGTTGTTTTAATGGAGTACCTCATAGCCTTTGGTAACTCACTTAATAAAATACTATCTTAGCATTTTATTCTGGTCTTTGCTGCTATATATTGCACAAGTTATTCCATGGTATATTATATTGTGAGTATTTTATATTATTAGAGCTATAAGTAGGCCAGGATGGTTGAAACATTGTGGGTAATTAGATCAGAGGAGAAGGCTGTCAGTTCATGTTTGATTTGTCAGTGACTGTGAAAACTTAGATATAATTCTGAGAGAAATGGGAAGCTATTAAAATGTTAATGCTGTAAAGATACAAATTTACTTTCTTTATAAAACAATGGCTCTCTTGGTTAAAATAGAAATACATTTTAAGAAGGCAAAAGAAGAAACAGAGTAGATTGGCATGCTGCAATAATTCAGGCAAGAGACCATGTAGATTGGACATGATAGTAGAAGAAGATTGGGGGAGAAGTAATTGAAATTCTGTAAGGATTTTAAAGGTTGAGCCAAAAGAATTTGATGATAGTTGAACAGAGAATGTGAGAGAAGAGGAAAATAATTGCTAAGGATATGATTTTCAGTCTGGTCTTCTGAACTCATTTAGATGCCACTTAACTGAGGTGGGAAGAAAAGTGTAAGTTATTTAAATACATGTATACAAAAACATTATATTGAGAGGAAAATATTAATTATCTGCTATCCCTTGTTTCAGGTTGTGTACCTTCATAATAACAACATCTCTGTAGTTGGATCTAATGACTTCTGTCCACCTGGATACAACACCAAAAAAGCTTCTTACTCAGGCGTGAGCCTCTTCAGCAACCCAGTACAGTACTGGGACATCCAGCCTTCCACCTTCCGATGTGTCTATGTGCGCTCTGCCATTCACCTTGGAAACTACAAGTAATTCCTAAGAAATCATTCACTTTCATAACCTGGCACAATCTCATTAATGGCATTGCTAAAAATAAATAAATAGCTAGATGATACTGATGACCTAACTGCCATGTGGACAATTTTCCCACATGACTTATTATGCCTAAAAGCCAAATATGCAGTTTAAGTAATTGCCTACAATAAAAACAATTTCCTGCCATTTTCAGAATTCTTTTTGCAGTTTTTTGTTGAGTTCCTACAGATACACTTGTGTCATTAAATGTAAAATTTGGATTTAAAGTGTCAACTTTTAAATAAAACTTTAAAAAATAATTTTAAGAAGTCAAATAAAATTAATATCAAACTTCTATAATTCATAAGGTAGGTAGTTCCTTTGGCATACAGTTCAAGTTCAAATGTTAGCTCTGTATTAATCCTCATTATCTTTGGTAAAGCCTTGTTTGAATATGTGAATTCAACACAGGCTGTGTAAAATTTTTTATAATATCATAATTTTGGAAAAATAAATTAATAAATACATTCAAAATTACTATTGTATGAAAGCTTAATTGTAAGTCTTGTCTATAGTGTACATTAGTTTGTTGAGCATAAAATTTGAAAGCATTTTTTTCAAGTTGTTGACCATTTTTCCCTACCCATCTCATTTAATATTCAATTATGGAAACTTGCATTATCTATGTTCAATGTTAAATTTAAAATACAAAGTTGAACACTTTTCCCCTATTTTTTTGTTAGTCTACATAACTGATTGTTAGTTACTAAAACATTTTTATAATTACATTTGTGTGCCTGATATTTATTGTTTTTAATTAAACACTAATTTTATAATTATTTTTAATAGGATTTAGAAATATCAAAACAAACCATCCAACAAGTGTAAGGATAGGCTCATATAAGGAGAGTGTAAGCATCGAATAGTTGTTGTCAGGTGCCATTGAGTTGAGTATGACTCATTACTACCCTATGAATATAAAAACAGATCTGAGCCTTGTCCAATCCTGTACCTCACAATCTCTGACACATTCACGCTCATTGCTGCAGTCACTGCATCAGCCCAATTGCTGGTTGAGGGTCTTTTTCTCCTTCACTTCCCCTTACCTTTCTAAGCATGAATTCCCTAAGCAGGGAATTTATCTCTCCTAGCAACATATTAAAAAAATGTAAGAAAGTTACACCATACTTTCTCCAAGGAACACTCTGGTTGCAGCTTCCCCAAGACACTTCTGTTTGTTCATTTGGAAGTCCAAGGATTATCCATACTCTTCTCCAACACCACAGTTCAAAGACATCGATTCTTCTGTCATTCTTAGTCTTTGTTTAGCTCTCAGCAGTATAGCAAGTGCCTCAAAAGACCATGACCCAAAGCAGTCCCACTTTAGTTCTCAAATCAACATCATTATACCTTGGTAATTTAAGAGGTCCATGGTTGCAGACTTTCCTAGGCAATACATATCCTGATCTCCTGACTGCTGGCACCAAGTATATTGGTTGTAGATTCAAATAAGATGAAGTCATTGACAGTTTCAATCTTTACTCCATCTATCATGATATCATGTATCAGCCCAGTGGTGAGAATTCTTATTTTCTTGACTTTGAAATGATACCCATACTGAAAGCTACAGTCCTTGATCTTCTGCAGCAAATATTTCAAGTCCTCCTCATTTTCAAGAAGCAAAGTTGTGTCATCTGCATATTGAAGGTTATTGATGAGCCTTCCTTCAAACCTAATGTCACATTCTTCTTCACTGCGTCCAGCTTCTTGAATAATTTGCTCAGTGTACAGATTAAATAGGTATGGCAAAAGGACACAACTTTGATGAATACCCTTCCTAATTTTAAACCATGTGTCACTTAGATCATTGCAATCAAAATCCAACTGAAGATTATCCAAAAACAACTGCAAAAGTACAACAAGTGAAAACTGTCAAAAGTGCAAGCTGAGTTTAGAAGAGGTTGTTACTAGGGACATCATAGATAATGTCAGATGGATCTTGGCTGAAATCAGAGACTACAACAGAAATACCGATTTGTGTTTCATTGACTATGCGAAGGCATTCGACTGTGTGGACCACAAAATATTTTGGCTTACATTGAGAACAATGGGAATCCCAGAACACTTGTTTGTGCTCATATGAAACCTGTATTTGGGCCAGGAGGCAGTAGTCAGAACAGAACAAGGAAGCACGGCATGGGTCAAAGAAGTGTGTCAGCAATATGTCCTATCTCCATGTCTTTTTTTTTTAATTATAATTTTTTTTTTACAGAGGTTTTGGATTTCCATTCATTCATTGCCGCAATTTTCTCCCTTCCCACCCCTCCCCACCAGCTCACTTCCCCCTCCGAAGAGAGAAAAAAAAATTCCTTCATTAGTATACAATTCCCAGGTCCCTTCCCCCCACCCCCCACCCCGAGTACACTTCTCTATGCAACCCTAATTCTCCATGTCTTTTTAATGTATATGTGAAACAGATCATTCACACTTCATGGATGGGAGGCTAGACTTTATGAGGAGGAATGTGGTGTCAAGACTGGAGGAAGACTCATCAACAACTGGCATTTTGCAGATGCCACACCTTGCTTGCTGAAACCTGAAGTAATGCTGCAGTAGGTCGAGTCTTCAGTATAGATTGAAGCTCAGATCAAGGAAATAAAGATTCTCAACACTGGCCAATAGGAAGTACCACAACAGATGGGGAAGAAATGGAGAATATTAATAAGTTCAGCTTGCTCAAGTCCACAATCAACACTCTTGGTACTAACAGACAGGAAAGAAAAGACAAATTCCATTAGAAAAATCTGTTGTCAGGAATTTCTCCAGAGTGAAAATAACCAAGAATGTCAGTCTAGAGGCTAAGGTACCAGAGAGCTAGACAAGATTAAGGGTGCCTGAAGATCTAGACAAGATTAAGGGTGCCTGAAGAATTGATGCCTTTGAGTTGTGGTACTGGGGAAGAGCATTGAACATATCACAGACTGCCATGAGAACAAACATTTCTGGCCTGGAGAGGGTGAAACCAAGTTAAGTTACTCCTTGGAAGCAAGGTTTTTAAAGCTCCACCCCATATATTTTGTGCATGCTGCCAGGAGAGACAAGTCCTTGGAGGAGGAGTAATAGCACAGCAGAAGGAGACCTTGGATGAGATGGATTGACACAGTAACTGGAGTAATGGCGTTGGTGTATCGGAGGCAGATTGACTCAGGATAGGGAGGATTCTGAGGTATTGTGCATAGGGTCCCTGTGAGTTGCAGGTGAGTCAAAAGCACATAACAACAACAATTACACTCTCTTGCTCTGTATGGACAGCAGCGTGTTGATATAAGTATAGGTTTCACATGAGCATAGTTAAGTGTTCTGGGATTCCTATTTTTAATATTAGTTATAATTTATTATGATCTACTCAGTCAAATGCCTTTGCATAGTGAGTAAAACACAATAGACATTCTTCTAGTATTTTTGCTTTCAGTCAGAATCCATTTAGCATTATTAATGATGTCAAATTTTTGTTGTTGTTAAGAGCCACTGAGTCGTCTAAGACACATAATGACATTGGAATCCATATAGTGACCATAGTGATGTCTAGTGACCAAAGACTTGTCTCTCCTGGCCACATGCCCAAAGTACGTGCGACAGAGCTTCAAAATCCCTGCCTTCAAGGAGAAACTTGGTTTCATCTTCTCCAAGACCTAATGGGTCTCTTGGTGGTTCATGCTACGTTCAATATTCTTTTGCAACATCACAAGTCAAAGGCATCAATTCTTCTAGCATCCTTAGTCATTATTCAGCTCTCTGATACATAGCAAATAATTGCAAAAACTATGGTCTGAATCAGTAGAACTTTAGTTTCTAATCTGACATAATTGTTCTTTTGCACTTTGGAGAGGTCCTTGACAACCGACTTCCCCAGTGCAATCCATATTTTGATTTTCTGACTACTGGTACTAAAGTGTTTATTGTGGATCTAACCAAGCTGAAATTGTTAACAACCTCAATCTCTTCGTCCTCCATTATGGTGCTGCAAATTGGCTCAGAGGTGAATATCTTTGTCTCCTTGATGTTAAACTTCAATCCATATTTAAGACTACAGTCCTTGACCCTCTTCAGCAAATGCTTCGGGTCCCCCTCCATTTTTGCAGGCAAGATTGTAGCATATAAAAACACAGGTTGTTGATGAGCCTTCTTCCATACTTGATGTTAGGTTTTTTCTCATAAAAACCAGCCTTTCGAATAATCTGTTACACATACAAAGGTAGGGAGATAGGACACGTCCCTGACATACTCCTTTCCCAGCTTTGAACCATGCAGTGTTTTCCTTGATCTGCATTAATGACCGCCTCCTGATCCAAGCATAGGCTTTGCATGAGCACAGTAAGTGTTCTGGGATCCCCATTCTTTTCAAGGTTAGCCATACATTCTTCTCAAGGTTAGCCACAATGTGTTGTGATGTACACAGTCTTTGCATACTTGATGAAGCATAGATAGACATTCCTCCAGTACTCTTTGCTTTTAGCCAAGATCCATCTGACATTGACAATAATGTCCTAGTGTCATGGCCTCTTCTAAATATGGCTTGTAGTTCTGGTAGTTCTCTGTTAATATACTGTTAGAATAATCTTCAGTGGGATTTTTCTTGTGTGTGATCTTGATACTGTTTGATAATTTCCACACTCTATCAGATCACCTTTTATTGGGATAGGTAAAAATATTAATCTCTTCCATTTGTAAGAAATATGTTAAGATAGTTTGTTTCTTAAGAACTTGGGGTATTTTATATCTTAGCACTAAAACAGAAAATTCAAATTGGTTTAAACTGCATACATTATTATATAAACCGAATATACTATTATTATATAAGTCTTCAAGTATTGCTTCATCAGACCTCTAGCTTAATTTCTTTGCAACTCATTCACCTTTGCTTTTCTTAATTTCATTTTAAGGCTAGTTTCCTTGTGGTTATAGAACATAAATCTCATTTGCCTTATTCACATGCAAAACAAAAAATATTATTATTATTTCAGAATGTCCTAAAAATGTAATATTCTTTAATTAGGTTATACTAGTTTCACAATTCTACAGAGTAGATATTATTGTCACAATACACAGGTTGAAAAACCAAACTTAAGAACAAGACTAGTACTTGGAAAATATAAGTAATTTTTCTCTCATAGTAAAATAATCTGATAATTATGTGGGGTCACCATATTATTCCTTTATATTGTAGACGTTCGAGTCAGGCAGAACATATACCACAGTGGTTCCGATGAAAACAATTTAATG